TACGCGCGTGTGTGGGCTTAGGGCTTAGGGTTTCGGGTTTAGGGCTTAGGGCTTAGGGCTTAGGGCTTAGGGCTTAGGGTTTAGGGTTTAGGGCTTGGGGCTTAGGGCTTAGGGTTTAGGGTTTTGGGCCGGGCGTTCCGGGCTCTCAGCCTAACCCACAAAGCCGAATTTCTAAGTACGAACCTCTACAGACCGTAAATCCTAAACCCCTAACCCTAAACCCCCAAACCCAAAGCCCTAAACCCTAAATCCCTAAATCTGAATCCGAAACCCTGAGCAGCCATAGACCCTGATTCCTGAACGCCAAGGGCGTAGATACTTTAGGTAATGTAGGGGCCTTACTAATTAGTCATGCAAGAAACCCTACTGTAGGGGCCTTAAGTTTAGGGTTTAGGGTCTAGGGTTAAATAATCAGAATAGGATTTTGGGGACCATGATACTATACTCATAATACGGAACCCCCAACATTGGGCCCGAAATTCTTAAGGCCCCTATAATACAGCTGAAGAGGGAGGGGCTCAGTGCATAGGGTCTAAGGGGGCTTGAAGGCTTCGTGTACCCTAAGCCCTCAACTCCGAACCCACTGAACCCTAAACCCTAAACCCAAGAGCCCTAAACCCTCAACCCAAAGCCCTAAGCCCTAAACCCTCAACTCTGAACCCTAAACTCCTAAACCCTAAACCCTCAACTCTGAACCCCAAAACCTGAACCCTAAACCCTGAACTCTGAACCCTAAACCCCGAAGAGTTCAGGTTCTGGGACGCTTGGGACTTCGGGTCTACTGAGGGCCTTGCGGCTTGGAATGCAGATTTACGGCGTAGCTTCGGAGATGACTGGGACGTCTAAGATGACGGAGGTTTACGGTTTAGGGTTTGGGGGTTTAGGGTTTTAGGGATTTAGGGATTAGGGGTTCTTCAGGCTTCTATACTGGGTTACCACTTGGACTCAGGCTTTCTATCATCAGAACTGAAACGTCCGAGTGTCGAGATGCGCGCTGTTTCAAGCCGCGTGCCCTTAACATCCCCGAACCAGAACTACCGGTGTAGGGTGTTTAGGGTTCAGCTTTCGCGGGCTAAGAGGGTTATGTAGGGGCCTTAATATTTAGACTAGGGTTTTGTTGTTATAGTGCAGAACCCCAAAATAGAGTTGTTGTAATTGGTGATTATTTCTGCCCCCTATATTGGTTGAGAGATTCCGGGGCTTTAGGTTGCTACCAGCTAGAGATCATACTGGTAAGTTGGATTTAGGGTTTGGGGTTCTGGCCTTTAGGACAGAAAACTATCACAGGGGCCTGAATCATCGGAACAGAAGGTAAATTTGCTATCCTCGTATAGGGATCCTGATAGGACATGCACCTGCAGACCATTCGGACTGCTCTGTGTATACCACAGGGACTTCCGGTAGTGCATGTTCGAGTTTATTTGCACGTCGCCCAGTAACTTCGACAGAGCAGACTTAAACCAGTCCGAAACAAAGCCGTAAAGCCAAAAACCTCACAACCACCCCGAGCACCCCAAACCAAAATACCCTAAGCTGCGTAAATGCAAACACCAGGAGCTATGGCAAACCTTCTAGCTCCCTTATAAAAGCAACCTGAAAGCCCTTAAAAGGGACCCTTCTAGCTCTTTGAAAAACAATCTTAAAAAACTTTAAAGGGACCCTTATGGATCCCTTAACAGGAACCTTAAACCCTTGTAAAGGGATCTTACAGATCCCTCAAAGGCCTTAAAACCCTACTTGGCTGACTTCTCCTTATTATAGTTCATATAGAAGCCCAAAAAGTTAAAGTCCTGAGAGCCAAACAGAAGAACCCCAAGCCTACCTCAGCGTTGGTGAAGACGAAAAAAGTATCTACCACACCGCAGCCGGGAGCCCGGAGCTGCTGCTGCACATGAAATCAAACTGCGCGGTTTAGGGTGTAGGGATTTAGGGTGTAGGGGTTTAGGGTTTTAGGGTTTGGGGTTTAGGGGTTTAGGGTTTAGGGTTGAGGGTTTGTATGCATATGTAAAGCCACTCGAGATACGATACGAAAAAGGGATAAATATGGGTGTGTACATAGACCGGCATGGTATGGTAGGACATGGTATGGTATGCATGTTTGTATATATATATATATATATGTGTGTGTGTGTGTGCATACATACATACATACATACATACATACATACATACATACATACATACACACGCACACACACACACATGCAGATGCAGCGTGACAGGGCGATGTCGTTGCAGTCATGTCCGCTGTCAGCCTTTCAGTATGAGCAGCTTTATGACCATGATGATGAAGAGGAGAAGAACTGCGACGGCAAAGACGGTGGCGGCGCTGATGACAGTGTTGCGGAAGATCATGCTGAAGCTGCTCATGATGATGCCGAAGAAGACAAGGATTATGAGGATGCTGAACGAAGCGGTGATGCTGGTGCTGACGATAAAGGTTTCACGATGAACATGGTCGTGTTTCTCTTGAAGTGTTCACACCGTTGCAGGCTCCAACAGACAGGACTAAGTGCTAACGCTGCATGGTGTGGAGTATCGAGCAACAAAGCACGCCCCCCTTGCAACCACCTGAACCAACTTCTACAAGTAGCTTGTGTAGAGGGACAGCTGCATTGTGCATCGCCCTTGTTTTAGCCGTCAGAATCATCATCTGCTGTTGGCATACCTGAAGGCAGAAGGATGCTGCAGCATACTTGTCTTAGATATCACCGGAGAAACCAGCAGCCAGATTCGGGATGTTTGAGGTGATACACCCGGGCATAACAAGGCAAGCGAATTTGTTCGTGAGCAGAAAGTTGAGTCCACTCCCAGCGTAGTCTTGAGCATTTAGGGGTTTGGTAAACCCTAAACCCTAAACCCTAAACCCTAAACCGCTGGCTACACATCCAAGATTTGTCGGCAGCCTCGAAGCTCCACCATCGGTCCAAATGCTATTATGACAACGGCTTCAGGGTTTAGTGTCATTATGTGAACACTACATGGATTTTCATCAGGCCCGGGAATTTCAACACCGGTGCTCAAGCACACACGGCTTCCGGACTTCGATTAGAGCTTACAAAGGCTCCTGTGAGGCTGGTTTAGCAGATTAACAGTAAGCAGGTCGTACAGTCGGACAGCTCAGTGCCACTGCTACCATGGGCAGCTTTAGAACGCGTGTGCCTGCAAGCTGTGTGGTTAATGTAGATGCCTTCAACCTTGAACTCGAACCTAAAAACGCTAAACCCTAAACCCTGTAAACCCTAAACCCTTAAAACTCTAAAGCCCTCAGCCCCAAACCCTACTCCCTATAAACCCTAAAACCCTAAACCCCTAAGCCCCAAACCCTAAAACCCTAAACCCTAAAACCCTAAACCCTAAACCCTAAGCCCTGAAGCCCTCAGCCCAACCCTATAGCCCTCGGCCCCAAACCCTAATTCAGAATGATCTTACTTGCTTGTGTAATGCACACACATACATACATACATACATACATACATACATACATACGTACATACATGCAGCTACATACGTACAAACAAACACACACACACACATGAAACTATATACAAACACATGGACATAGATACATTTACATACATACACATGCATATAGGTATACATGCAAATACATGTATATACACACATGCACATGTATATATTTACTTACACATGTATATACATAAATACATACATACATGCATACATACATTGATTGCATCAGTTTACATTACATTACATTACATTACATTACATTACATTACATTACACTACATTACATTACACTAACTACGTACATACATTCATACTTACTTACTGACTTGCTTACTTATGTACTTACTTACTTACTTACTTGCTTGCTTGCTTACTTACTTGCGTACGTACTTATTTACTTACTTACTTACTTACTTACTTACTTACTTACACATATACATGCACATACACATATACATACACATGCACATATACATATACATACACATATAGAGTTATATTTACATACACATACACACATACGCACACATATATCTATATATATATATGTATATACATATATATATATATATATACACATACACACAAATACATGCATACGTACATACATACATACATAAATATCTACATGAATTACATATACACACATGATATGCATACAAACTCACCAACAACCCCCAAGGGAAGTCCTGCCTCGCGTACCCTAGTGCTGCGCATGTAGGGACCCTAAACCCCTAAACCCTATCAACCTAGAGCTCTGAGCTCAAGGGTTGCCTTCGTGCCCAAGAAAGACCTATATCTGCAAAAGGCCAACGTGAAACCCAACGCAAAGCGCCAGAGTAGGGAGACAAGGACCTAACCATGTACATACATATGTATGTGTATATATATATATATACATAACATAACACACATGCAGATCAACAACTTGTTTATGTGTTTGTTTATGTACTCGTACGTATATATCTAGTTAGCCAGACTTACTTGCTTATCATGAAGTCGTTGTGGGCACACCTTCACCATCATCAGGTGCCCATCGCGGCGGCAGCAGCAGATGCACCGAAAGACCCGCTGGCCTTCACGAGTTGACAAGGGAGATCTAAGGTCTAGGGCTTAGGGTTTAGGGCTTTATGGTTTTAGGGTTTAGGATTTTAGGGTTACATTAATGTTCGAACCTGATTAACAAACCCTGGTCATATACCCGCAAAATAGTCGGGCTCATACAGGGCACCCCAATAACGTCCCAAGGTTTCTTAGTCAGGTTCCAATATTACGCGAGTTGCTTGCACTTGGGGGCTGGAGGGCCATTTTCGCAGAGTTCAGGGTTAGTTGCGCTACGAGGGCCGCATGTCTTCTGAAACTCCCCTTCGAAATCGAGCGGTTTAGGGTTTAGGGTTTGGGCCGTCTGCGCTTCCTTCACATTCACAGTCCGTCACTACAGTAAGCCAACGTAGCTCCCATCTACGACCTGCCAATGGTACTCTCTTGGGTATCATTTGCGATGCCTCTGATTGGAGGGTCAAGGACCTGTTTAAGAACAATGTGTGCCTAAGCCAACTAGTACAGTTTACGATCGATGCATAAGTCTCCCTGCTCCTAAAGCCAATAAGGTTTTAAGCCTACAAAACCCAAGCCTTTGAGTAGGGTTCAATTTAGGGTTGTGGGTTTGTGGGCTTTCGGGTTTAATTAGGCTTTTGGGGTTAGGGTTTTCAGGTTTAGGGTTCAGGGCTCTCCAGGAACGAAACCACAACTGGAACGGCCGAAATCAAATATCTCTTGCCATGCGCCGGTGTGCAACTCAAGACGAAGCCTAGCGTGAAGCGAATCGGGGTCTGCCCCTTGGGAACTGACGCTACAACCCTAAACTCTCGGTATCTTCGGGCTTGCAGGTTTGCCGGTCATGCCTCACGATCCACGGGCGGCGTAAAGGCAGAGGAACATGTGGCCCACCAAGCCTTCAGCACTACACAGGGCTTCGCTGAGCTCTAGACCCCGGTTTGGTCGAGCTCCTGTTCTTTTGTTTGCGGATCTCCCCTGGTTCAAAGCTCTTGCGACGGCAGAAACAGGAGTACACAGCTGCTGCATGCTGGTGGCTAGTCAACAAGAACAAACATCTTGCTACATGGGCCTTCATAGTTTGAAGTTAGAACAGTGTGCCCTAGGGTTCCATACTCTGACTATACTATAAGATATCCCCCAACCCTGTTCTACTCATTATTGCCCTCATTTTAACCACTCAATCATCAGCGCTGACTCTTCTACACCCTGCTTTGGGTACCAACCAAAGGCCAAAGCTCAGAAAGGCTCTGCAAGGCTGTTTTCTGTGGATTTAGGGTTTAGGGTTTAGGTTTTAGGGTTTAGGGGTGGAGACCAGACGCAGAGGACAAAATGTGGAAAGTTCTGTGCATGATGAAGTAAGGAGTTCGACCACTCCCAGGAACAAGCTCGTTGTTTACATACGCCCCTAAACCAGGACACTCGAAAGCTTAATTGCCTTAATCATATGAAAAAGTTTTGTAGCATATCGAGTCACTATTCACTGCTGTAACATACTTAAAAGACTGCAGGGGAATGGTTTCCCCGTAGCCCCTAAAAACAAAGGTACATGTTTTTTCCTGCTACTCGGTGTTATTACGGAGACCCCGCAATGCAAAAGGGCAAAAGGGCACTACTGGGAGACCTCGAAATGATAGCCTACACTACCAGCAGACCTTCAGGCAGTAAATTGGGAGCTTGGGGTTTGGGGTCAAGGGATCTACCTATAGTCTCCATTGTAGTTCCTTTTTTTTTCGGTTTGGCCAATGATATATTACGGATTTTTATAAGGGATCCCCAAAAAGGAACTACAATGGAGACTGGAGGTAGGATTCTAGCCACCAAGCCCCGAACCCTAAACACCGGATTCTAGGCTTGGCTTCAGGACTTAAGGCTGCTTCGGCCTTACAGGACGAGCACCCAAGAAGTCGAGCACGCCAGGAACCCGTGGTGCCTCGCAAGAACTTTGGCGATGGTGTGGGCCTGTGGCAAGGACGGCCTAATCCATAGGTCCGGGTTGCAGGGCGGTTGAGGGCTCCTAAACCCTAAACCCTAAGGTCTAATGGCGTATGATTCGTTTGACATGGAATTAGGGTTTAGGGTTTAGGGTTTAGGGACATGGAATTATGGAATTGTGTGCAATGTTGTGGCGGTGTGAGCGATGAACAAACACACATATCACAGGGAGCTGACCAGGCAGAATTAGGGCCTTATGTCGTTAATGTTCTTGGCTTACTGGGTTTAGAGGGTGTGGCTTAGGGAACTGAAAGGAACTGAAGGGTGCTGCGCCGTGCTGCGCCATCGTGAATGCTTTCCCGCACCTCTTTCGGCAGCTCGCGACCGCGGTACCCAGGCTCGTGACAGGCCTCAACCGGTTTCGGTGCATCACGTAAACAAACCCCTAAGCCTAAGCCCTTAACCCTCAGCCCGTAACTCTAGTCCCCGCGTGCACCTTGAACGCAATTCCCAACAACATCGAAGCGGTTGTGGATTCGTTGCATGAAGAGGGTTGAAGCCTAAATGAAAGGTTTTGGGATTTGGGGTTGAAGCCATTCCGGTCAATGTCAGATATTTCGTTTGATCTACAGTCTGGTGCTTTTTGCTCGTTTGACATGATGTCAGCACAACGGTACAGGGAGGCTTTGTGTGAAGTATACCTAACCAGTGCAAGCACAGCTAGGTCTTGCTTGTGATAGGTCGAGTCTGAACTAGGTATGATGTCGATGCACCCATTGTCTCCATTCTAGTTCCCTTGTTGGTTGAACCAATTTGATTTGGGATCCTATATGGGCAACGCCCAAAAGGAACTGCAATGGAGACTGTAGGTAGTATGTCTTTAGGAAACCCACAAATCCATCAGGGCCCTTGGTACCAAGGAGGCCCATAAGCAAGAGCCGACAAGAGCCATTATGCACCGACCGCCTTCGCAACATGGCACCCTTTGAGGATCAGTTTAGGGTTTAGGGGTTTAGGGTTTAGTAGACTTTTCAATCCCCCAAAACCCACGAACACCGTGGTATCGGGAGGATTTTGGGGCATGTGAAGGAGATGCTGTTTGCAAGCCCGGGTCAGAAACCGTTCAGTCGCCGTACTGCGTAATGACCGGCCTCGAAACCTGCGTCCGGATCCACCTCGGTTTGCGCACTTGCGCGAATGAAGATTTTGCAAATAAACCCAAAAATCCTAAACCCTAAGGTCTTAGTTGCTATCGGCATCTCCGCGAAAAAGCAGCAGCAACAGCGGCGATGATAAACCCCTTTAGCACCAAGTCCTAGACAGCCTTAATAACTAGAATAGGGTGTTGGGGTCCCATATAGCATAATTATTAGAGTAAGGAGCCCCCAAAATAATATAGGTAATTATTGAGGCCCCCTAAACCCTAAACCCTAAACCCTATATTAGACATCCGCCAAGATTCCTTGCCCTAGACCTTAGCCTAGCCAAAGCCCTGCACATGCACCTAAGGCCCTAAACCCTAAGCCCAAAAAGCTCCTAGACATCCTGAACTCTGGAAACTGGTAAATATCCTAAGCCCTAGATAACCCGAAACATCCTAGGCCCCAAAATCCAAACCCCAAACCCGCAACTACGATGGATCGGGCCTTTTGGAGCTTTGGTGCGAACTCTGAGTCCAGAGTTTTTAGGGCTCATCAAAAAAATCCTAAACCCTAAACCCTTCAGTGTTTTGGGGCTTCCGTGCTTGGGGTTGCAGAGCGGGATTTTAGGAGGCATGGTTTTTTGGGCTGAACGGGTTTAGAGCTTAAGGAGTTAGACGTCTAAGGTTTAGGCCCTTGGGGCTTAGGCTCTAAGCCCTATAAGCCAAAAACCCCGTGGCTTAGGGTTGCAGGGTTTAGGTCCTTTAGGGTTTAGGGCTTCGTGGCTTAGGGCTGCAACGCTTAGGCATTTCGGGCTTAACTCAATACCATCATCAGGATAAGCGAAGAATCCAGCGATTCCAGTTTGGGGTTTCTATGCGAAGGATCATCGACTGCTTAGTGTCGACACTAGCTATAGTCTCCATTCTAGTTCCTTTTTTTGGTCGAACCAATTTCTTTATTAGGGATCCTATATGGCAACCCCCAAAAGGAACTACAATGGAGACTATAGGTAGCGACCCAGATTTCGTGAAGATCTCTCATATAGCAAGCAGCATGCCTTCCTGACTTAACGCAACGTAGACCTTCACCGGAACCCAGACATGAAAAGTCCAGGAGTCACGCATTTCGGATCGTTTGGGGCTCTTGGCTTCAGGTTTAGGGTTTAGGGTTTAGGGTTTAGGGTTTAGGGTTTAGGGTTTAGGGTTTAGGGTTTAGGGTTTAGGGTTTAGGGGTTCCGGGTTTAAAGGCTTCGGGGCTTCATTTTTGTTTGGGACTGGGGTTCATTTCGGGTTTAGGGTTTAGGGGTCTGCGGTTGTCCGTGCACACCTAAGGCTAAAAGCGCTGTAGACCCTAACTACGTGGAAGGTCTGACTAAGTTCCCAAATGGTAGTGTTCTAGGTCTCAAATGCTTTACTCTGAATACTGCTTCCTACATGAAAATTTGGCTACTTGGACGATTCTTTTTTTTAGCCCCAAACCCTAAACACAAAGGTCTAGGGCGCGTGCCTACTCCTAAGCCCGAAGCCGTCAGCTCCTACAGGATTTAGGGTTAAGGCTTTTCGGAACCCCAAACCCCAAGCCCTAACACCCAAAACGCAAGCCCTAAACCCTAAACCCCAAAACGTAAGCTAAGCATCCGAAAGCTCAAGCTCACGTGCAATCTTCAGCAAACCCTGGGTCTTCAGTCATGGTGAGAAGAGGGTTTAGGGTTTAGGGTTTAGGGTTTAGGTTTCCAACGCTTCTACACGTCGCTGCAGGGCTGCAATCTCCTGATTGCAAATCTCAATAAAATCTGCCAACATCTCACGGTAATCACTGGGCAACGACGAAGATGTAGGTGAAGAAGGGTTCGACGTTGAGTTGCACTCCGCTACGACTTGTAGCAGAGCTGGAGCGAAGGTTTCTTGTCGCTGCTGTGGATCAGTGGGTAGTCCTCTTCCCTCTTGCGACGATTGACCTAAACCCTAAACCCTTAACCCCAAAACGTAAGCCCAAAGCCCTAAACCCTAAATCCCAAAACGTAAACCCTAAACCCTCAACCCCAAAACCTAAGCCCTAAACCCTAAACCCCAAAACGAAAGCCCTAAACCCTAAACCCTAAACCCCCAAACGTAAGCCCTAAACCCTAAACCCTCAACCCCAAAACGTAAACCCTAAACCCTAAACCCCAAAACGTAAGCCCTAAACCCGAAACCCTAAACCCTTGAAAGGAAGCCCAGAAGCCCAGAAGCATGAATGCCGTGCATGAACCTAGACCCCCCAAGCACCCACTAATGTACCCTAAATACCCTAAACCCCAAACCCTAAACCCTAAACCCTAAACCCTAAACCCTAAACCCTGCCCACTATTAAGGGCCATGAGGGCTCCATTAAAGGGGTCTCGGTCGGGGGGTCCTGGAAGCTTCACCCTCTTTCTCAGGGCCGGCCGGCATCCCCTGGAGGTGCGAAGGGTCCACGGAATATAGGCTTATATGGGTTTAGGGTTTAGGGTTTGGGGTTTAGGGTTTATTGTTTTGGGGTTTAGGGGTTTAGGGTTTAGGGCTATTTTAGGGGCCTAAATAGTTACCCATACTATTTTGAGGGTACCTTATATTTTAAAATATAGTATCATATACCAAGGTTTCTTTTCGGGGTGAATTTAGCTTAGCTCTCCAATACCCAAGCTTTAATAAACTTTTTGGGTGCTTATAAGTTAGTAGCGACCTGCAAGTTTAACCTTCCATTTCCCCTGGCCTATCGCGGAAGTAAGTAGGGGCCTTTTTTAAGAAATTACCTACCTCCTCAGGGCTCCTTATCTAAATTTAGTATGTATTTTCTGTTTATTAAGGCCCCTACAGTAGTCTAGCGTCAGGTTTTCTGTAGGGTGTTATCCTGAACTGATAGGATTTTATGTGGGGGGTTTGTGGGTACATTAGGGTCCCTTTCTCGGTCCCCAAAATCGTACGGCACGCTACAGGGTTTCATCGGGCTTGGGCCCGACAGATCAAACATGCGCTTCCGGATGTTTACTACAGGGCTTATAGTTGAACCCTAAACCCTACACCCTACCTCTTTTATGCAGGGTCTATGAAGGTCGTATACGGGTTGTATTTGGGTCTCAGATCTCGTACGGCCTGCGACCAAATCTGGAACCAACGGGACGCCACAGTTCTTTCCTGGCAGGGATTCCCACCTTGCAGAAGGGGGCGGGGGATGTGGACGCTGACGCCCTCCAGGAGATGGAGACGAGGACCTAGACACCTGCATCCTGAGGCTTGGGGATCATGCTGCATGTGCCCCGCATGTTCAAAAGCCAGACAAGCCAGAAGAATCGCCGGGAACGGCGATTCAACAACCGGCTGAAGGGCACGCTGATCCTAGGACCACGCCCTGGCAGAGATGGCCAAGCTTTTGTGCTCCCTGCTCCCGGAAACACATGATCACCAGGTGACAGCCTGCCACGGCACAGGCCGGAATGGAGCGGAATCCTCAGCGAGGGGATCCGTCGGCCCTTGGAAACTGGCATCATTTAGACGTCCCAGGTGATACAAGATGTGGGCGCCAAGACACTGGGCATCCCAAGCTCAAAAGGATGGCTCGTACCCACCGTGGGGCCTCTTCGCCACTTCGGCTCCGTCGAGGCGTACTCCCAGGCCGCAGCCGACAAGGCCTTAGTCCGTGCAGAAACTCGAAGGAGGTTTCGATCGACTGCAACAGGTTTGGGGTTTAGGGTTTTAGGGGCCATAAGAGACATCTCAAGGAGAAGATGTTCATCTGACTGCATGTTTGGGCTTTCAAAGGTGCGAGTATAACAGCTTCAGTGAAGTTGCGACTGTGTAGGTTGTCGGGTTACTTCGGAGTGGGGGTTTAATTAGATTAAGATTAACAGGTGCCTCCTTCGACCAGCTACACTCGCAACCCTACACACCAAATTCTCAGCAATTGAGCCCTGCGCCCGCGAAGCCTATAGCTCAACATAGCACCCACCTATAGTCTCCATTGTAGTTCCTTTTTTTGGTTAACCATATTTATGGTTAGGATCCTATAGTATAAATTTGGTTAACCAAAAAAGGAACTACAACGGAGACTATAGGCACAACCTTCGATTAAATTGTCCTTGGCCCCCAAATCTCTCCAACCTGAGTGAGTCCATGGAGTCTTTTAGTAGAAGCCCCAAAAATGGAAACCCAATAGCCCCAGTCCTTAAGAGCAATGCATAGAAAATCCGATTTCCAACCTTTTGGCGCTTACCATAATATATGCTTGGTTGAACCTTTACAGTCACTTTATAGCTTTATCACTTATAGGGTTAGCCTTTTTTGATATTAGGGGTACTAAAAGTTAAAATTTTAGCAAGGTAATAAAGAGCCTTAAAGGGTAAGGTAATAGGTGAACCATGGCAAAACTCTCTGGCAGGACGCAGCTACCCAGCGTTGACCAGAAATGCGGTGCGGCTGTGAAACCCTGGCTTCTAAACCCGAAAAACCACCCTGAACCCTAAACACTAAACCCCTAAACCCTAAACCTCAAGAAGTTACCCTACCCAAAAGACCACCACTAGTATGGTTTTGGGGGGGCCTAATTCCATAAGCGTAGTATATATGGGCCCTTTTGCTTAACAAGTTCCTTCAAGGGTTCCTTCCATTCAAGAATCTTGAACCCTCAACCCTAAACCCTAAACTCTAAACCCTAAACCCTAGATTTGGGCATTGGGGTAAGCGGTTCAAACCCTGAGCCTTCAGTTCAAGGGCTCCAAGACGGTTTAAGGTTTAGGGTTTAGGGTTTAGGGTTTAGGGTTTAGGGTGAAGGTTAGGGTGAGTCACAGAAAGTTGGAACATGGGCTTAAAGGGTTTAGGGTTTAGGGGGCTTAGGAGGATTAGTGCCAGGATCCGGTAAGCTTTACCTTAAGGGCATGAGGGCAATAATGCTCTAACTTTCTGGGATCTACTTTGGTAACTAGGCCTAGAAGATCTCACAAGTATGAGAACAGACTATATACATATATATATATATATATACATACGCAATAGCTTATCGCCCCAATTCAGGTACTTGTCACGGTATTTACTAAGTCGCGTGATCTTGTAAGGTAGTTGAAATCCTCCCCTAAGCTATATTATGAGGATGTTGAGAGATTGGTTCAGGGTCTGGGGCTGACCTGTAGCCCAAGCCCTAACAGGGCGTAGGATTCCGCATACATCCTCTGCAACGGCTACAGCCAAAGTGTTGCTGTGGCTGATTGAAGGACATGGCTCGCATAAAAAGGCTTGCAGCGGAGCCGCCGAAGCTCAAGCCCCATGCGCTAAAGCTCCCATGTAACCGGAGAGCCGAAACCCTGCACCACAGAAGCCGCAGCTGACATAGTGAGCCCGGGTCATTGTTGAACGAGGTTTAGCCCTTACCCTGAAAGGATTCATACGGCTGATGGACAAAATCCTGCATGACCTTCTATACCTAAACTATGGGATTCATGGTACCATACTATACTTGGGTCATGCAGAACTTTGTCCATCAGCAGTA